TTAGGATCCCATATAGGGATGGCCGGTTCGCTCACTGGCTGAGCGTGGTGCTGACAACACCTGGTCGAGGGTTAAGATCCCCTTACCGGTCATCTTTAAAAAAAAAAAAAAAAGTGTGTATTTCATTTAACTGACATAGTAATCACTAATGGCTTTAGGAAGAGAAGTTTCAGAGGAGTGGTGGGAATTAAAATAAGATTTCAGTGAGTTGAAGAATGACAGAAAGGGACTGCCAATGTTAATGACTTTTTCAAGAAATTTAAATTGACAGAAAAGCAAAGAGTACAGTTTGCTTGTGGACAAACTGATGAGAATGTTTCTTTCTAATATCCTAAGGTAGTAATTCAGCTGCTGCATTAGTTACCAATGGCTGGGTAGCAAAGTATCCAGAAACTTAGCAGCTTAAAACAACTGATACATGTATTATCCTATAGGCTCTAGATGTCAAGAATCTGTTTGTGCGTTAGCTGGGTCCTCTCTCTGCTCAGAGTCTCTGACATGGCTATGATCAAGATATTGGCTGGGGCTGTAGTCATCTCAAGACTTGACTGGAGGAAGATCTGCTTCCAAGTTCACTCAAGTGGTTGTTGACGGGATTCAGTTCTTCGCTGGCTTTTGCATGGCTTTTGTCCAGAGGCCTCCCTCAGTTCCTTGCCATGTGGGCCTCTCCACCAGGCAGATCGCAACATGACAACTGGCTTCCATTAAAGCAAGCAAGTGAGAGAGCAAGTGAAGGCAAGCAAGATGGAAGCCAGACTCTTTTCATAACCTAATCTCAGAAGTGACATCTCATCAATTTGCTATATTGTAGTCATTGGAAGTGAGTCACTAAATCCAGCTCACACTTAGAGAGAAGGAATTACCCAAGATCATGAATACCGAAAGATGGAGACGATTGGGAGTCATTTTCCAGGCTCCCTACCACAACTGAGAAACAAAAATAACAAGTTATTTTAATAGGTGGTAATAATATCGTGGCTGTTATCAACAAGCAATTTGTATGTTTTGTGTTCTAAAATGTTTTACGCATATTAACTTTACATTTTAGTATTATGCACTTAGAATGGTAAATATGTTTCTTAATATTAAATGTAATTTGAACTAAATAAGCTAACATTAAATCTTTTTTCATCATGTTTTGTTTAGTTTTAAACATGATTGGGGTTGCATTTACTGCTGACCCCCTCTTCCCAGCTCCAGTTAGTGCAGAGTTGGCAATAATTCCTTTTCAATTCAGTCTTCCATTCTTATAAGGTTAGAGCACAGAGTCATATCTAGAAGTTTCTGTTTCAGTGAGTGCAAGAACATAAGCAAAATTTATATATATATCGAAATTTGTCAATCTCCTCTGGTAATGTGGCTTGTTTACACTAAGTAGTTCTGCAATTCTAACATGTTCGGCAAAGTAAACTTTGGAAAATGAGTGAACTTGTTTGTTACCTTATCTTTAATTTCAGTGAAAATAGGTGTACTTTTCTTTTTAAAAAAGAAGTAGCATTACTTTTTTCTTTTAGTTAAATCTAATATGTTTAGAAATCTTATAGTATCAGTAATAAATTAAATCATTTGAGCCACTGAGGGTTTGAAAAATTGGGTTTCTCAGAGTCTTTTAATTCCATAAAAGTTCTTGGTCTGAGGAAGCAACTAAGTATAGCCCTTTGCCAGAATTCCTTACCTAAAACCTGTCAGTTTGTTAGAAGAAATAGAAGTTAAAAATAGTGAAAGGTCTCCTAACCAAATCATTAGATTAATCCATCTGTTAATTGATTTCATCTCCTCTGTAAAACATGTTGATTCCCAAAGCATGCTTAACTCATGAGGCCAAAGGGATTGCCCTTTTCTCCCCCCCAGGAGGTGGAGCGAAAAGAGATAACAAGAGATGGGTGAGCACGCAGCTGCTCTCCCAGATAGGGAACAAACAGATACACGCGTAGCAGGGGTTCTGTCAGGCAGTTCCGTTTATTGTAACACAAAAGATCATATTTATATACTT